TTGCACAGTTTCTTACTCAATCCAAAGGCGAGCATATTATGGGTGAAGGTCCTACAAGCACACATACACATGCAACAGTAAGAATGAACAAATGTAACGCTAACTTGCAGAGTCAAAAAACACATTACGTCATTAACAAATATTTAATTTTGATGCAAAAAAACAAACAAACAAACAAACAAACAAAAAAACAGCCTGTAACATTTGCACTATTCATCTCAACCCCTATCTGATTCTTATCCAAAATGTAACCATTTTAAGGATGATATCACTCACCCCAGCTGTCCAAAGGTGATGTTTTCTTCAATCCTGGAGCTGTCGTCTTTCTCTTCCTGGGTCATATGACACCACTTTTCCCTACGGAGGTTGAAGGCAGAGGTCAAAGCTCAAGGTTGGAGGTCATTCTCAGTTTCAGTGGTTTTATGGAAGCCAACAAATGGAGAAATCACAGCCAGGGTATACCACTGCCAAGATGTTTTTCTCTTTTAGTGCATTTTAAATCATACTTCTTTTGTTAGGATTAATTCCATAGCAAGGTGTAATTAGCAAAAAAAAAAATCATGAGCAATGAAAAACATTGCAACAGGCCAGAAAAATGACACAATAATGTAGCCTGACATTAACACCCATGCAAACATAGTTGAGCAGAGCTTATCAGTTAACCCAATTTTAGTGTTCGGCAATGCTTTGTGGTTAGATTAAGTCAGTGTTAATCATTACCCAACATACAGTAAAATGTATTTAGCAAAAGGAAAAAAAAAAAGAAGCATAATTCCTCTAACGGTTCATGCAAAATACCTTCGAAAACTTAGTCCTGGATGCTGGTTATGTAATAGCAATCAAACCTTTCCTCCTCCAAGTATATCTTCTTATGAATGTAAGAGCTTAACAAACATGTTAGTTAGCTGTTAAACTGGACTTAGAGACAATAGAGTGTTCATAAATCATTTTAGTTTTTTTTTAATTTCTAAACTACTGCCTTTGGTGATAATACTCCCAATTTGTTGATCTGACTCCAACATGCATCTGTGCACTATATTTTAGATTTGGCCTAAGAAAGTTAGGATTTCTAGGTTTAAGGGAAAAAACTCCACTAAGAATGAGGAAACTGTCTACAAAATGAGAGGACACCCATCATGCAGATGACCTGCAAAGTATGCAGCAAGCATGCAACGACAAGTGAGCGCATGATCCACATACAATTTACACACGAAAAGCAGAGGCCAGAGACAAAAGCCCAGACACTACTATCCAGAAACCATGGCCTCAGGATCCAAAGAGTTTTTGAGCACAGAATATACAAAATGTGGTTAAATAGCATCCATGCTAACAGCATGAGGACATTTTAAAAACCTACGTATTTTTTTCAATTACTAATTTGCTTTCAAATTATGATATACTATCCGAAAGACACTCATCAGTCACTGCCATTTAAAAAAAGAATGAAAAAACATCTTTCAGGAAATGCAGATGATGCGACTTCCTGTTGAACATCTTTCATAGGGGGGAATGTTTTCAGGTAACAAAGTTGAATGAATGCTGTAGAACTAAAACGTAGAATTTTCATAACCTGCAACTGACGACTCACTGAAAAGTCCGTTTGAAGCCTGAGCTGTTTAGTGGATTCACATATTAATGTAGAAATAATAAGATTGAAGAAATAGGTTTTAATATCAAGGTGAAGTGTAGTTATAGCGGACTGAGACAGGCAACACAGTTTTTTTTTTTAAATTGATGGTGAGGTTTTATTTTTGTTAATATATTTGTAAATGTAATGTGTCAGTGAGACACCCCCAATAAAACCACACTTTAGTGCACTGAAGTCAGAATATAAATACTAAAGACTCTCGATATTAATATACGAGACAAGATGTTATCTTACTTTTGATAGCAATCTGGAAACACTATGTCTTAAACCAGTAAGCAGTGTGCTTTTTTTTTTTTTTTTTTTTTGGCTATTTTTGGTTTTTCTCTGTTATCAGTACAGTGCACAACTTCCTGCCAGCCTCACACTCCAAACTCTAATAAAAGTATGATAACTCAGTTGTTTTCTCTGCAAATTTCTCAGTATTATTCTATTACACACCATAAATATGTAAGATAGAGCCTGCTGCTTCACAAAAGGTCCAGACATCCTAAACTTCCCCTATACCCTTTCCCTGACACCTTCCCTTGCTCTTTGCTGCAGCTTCACTGCTGTCTTGCTCTTGTTTTTATTTCTCTGTGGCCTTTTTCTGTCTAGTGGTGTCCGGTACAGCAGACAGAATGAACGACAGACCTCTCGTCTTTCTCCTCCTCAGCTGTCCGCCTGTGTGAGGCAGCAAGGCACATGGAGATAAAGAGTTAAAGTGGCATGCAGGAAGAGAGAGAGAGGGAAAGAGAGGCCGTTGAGCAGATTGGTGCAGCAGTATCTACTACAGGGACAGAGTGAGCTCAGAGAGCAAGGCAAGAATCTGACATTACTGAATGCAAGTGTGTAGAACACGCACACACGCACACACGCACACACTTTTCTCACACAGACTCAGGTACCAAAATCCTCATCAAACTTTAACAAAGCAGCAGTGCAATCTCATGACTGTAGTCTTTAACACTTGTTCACAAAGATCACATGATCTGAAATGTTTATAGAGACACACCCAGGCATTACACACCTCGTGGCAGTTCCAGTTCTGAAGCAACCTGTTAATCCTTTTATTATGAATGAGGTGTGTAAGAAAAATACTAAAGTAGTGACAGAGGGTGCAGCAATGCAGCTCCTCACACCTGGTACACGAAAATCCTGCCACTCTTTTATATATTTAGCCATCCAAGGCAAAAGCAGACTGGAAATTTTATTCAAAGGACATGGTAAATTTTATTTACTTATTTTTTGTATTTTTTAACAGATACTCTTACCTCGTGGTGGGAGACCTCTTGTTCCTCTCACAGTGCACAGCATCGAAAAATGCAGCATTCCAAAATCTTAATGTGTGCCTTTGAACAGAGAAGACCATCATTAACTGTGTGAAGGATGAGGATCATCAGTCCTATGATCAGAGTTAGTAAGGAATAACTCAATGACGGGCTGGTGTGATGTGACCCAACATGAAATGGTGTTACTGTTACCAACCCGAAGCTGGTTATTTTCATATAACAGCACTCCCTGAAGTGTTTTATTTGTCTTATACCACAGCAATTTCCAAAGATTACATTTTTAAATTTATTAATAAAGTACATTTTATATATTTACAATTACATTTAATGCCCATAAAACAAGTTAGTTCCTGTTATCGCTTACATTATAGCAGCTATAAACAGTCATTCCCTCACCAGGTTCTCTTTTTTCTCTATGACAAAAAAACTACAGAGACTAAATCATTTATCCTGAAGACTTTTACATGAAGAAAAACTGTTGTAAAGAGCTGATCTGTGCTGGCCCTACTGTCAGAGGAAATTAATCAACACCTTCTGAGCAATCAGATTTAAGAATTCAACAGCACATTGGTATAAAGGTTGATAACAGTCAGCAGTGAAGTAGTTCCATTTCTTGGTGTGGAACAAACATGACTATTGAAACAAAACGTCATGAGGATTCTTGGATCAAATGATAGACACAAAATGAACTCCTCAGATACTGGCTGTGCAGCTTTAAAAAAAAAACAACCTGAAACAACAAATGAACCACGTACCAGATTGGTTGCTGTTTAAGGTGTGTGTACAAGTAGATCTTCTCTCCTTTTTTCTTGTCTGGGGATGCAGGTGGCGATGCTGTAGCAGATGACAACACACATTAATCGACATTTACGCACACTCATCATTAGCAGAACAGTGTTGAAGGAGTCTCAGAGATATGCAGGCATGAGGAGCGCTCAGTGACAGCAAGAATGTGTTTACAGTAACGGACTGCTCAGTAGCAGACAGTTTAAAAGACAGAGCAATCAAGAAAGAAATTCAACATTGAGGGAGCTGTCCGTCAAGATTCACCACAGGCTAAAACACACATGGAGATCTCTGTGCGTGTTATGGGTGTAAAAGAAACATGCACATGCATTAAGGCAAATTTATACCAAAAGTGCTACTGAGGTGTTATTTTGGTTGTCTGTCTCACATGCATCTGCACATAACAGATATGATTCCAAATAACTTTCTAATCCCTTCACACCTGCCTTTCCAAACGCTGTCTATCCTGTTCCTTTTTTTCTTTTAACACACCACACATTTTTTTATTTCACTTGCACAACTCCATAAGACTCTATTCATATAACACATCCCTAGTTAACTTTATTTAAATGAATAATATACAGCATTATGAATGTGCTGCCTATTGCTGCAAGTGTGGACAAATTAGTAGCCCGGGTATCTGGGACAAGCAGATGTTGTGTCCGGGCTCTTAGTTGAACGGTGGTAGAATGGGCAAGTAGACTCCATCCATCCGTTTTCTGTACCGCTTTTTCTACACAGGGTCGTGGGGAGCCTGGAGCCTACCCAGGGGACTTGGGGCACAAGGCAGGGGACACCCCAGATGGGGTGCCAATCCATTGCAGGGCACAATTGGATATACACTCACACATCCATTCCCACTACGGACAATTTGGAAATGCCAATCAGCCTACAATGCATGTCTTTGGACTGGGGAGGGAAACCGGATTACCCTGAGGAAACCCCTGATGCATGGGCAGAACATGCAAATTCCGTGCACACAGGGTGGAGGCAGGATTCAGACCCCCAAACCCAGAGGTGCGAGGCAGCAGTGCTAGCCAAAAGTGGACTCAACATCTAGAAAAAAACCCTACTTCTTACTGACTTTAGCAAAACAAATGTTTTTCTTTAGTATATAGGCTATGTTTAAACATATCGCAGTTCACTGTGATGCAATGCACTACACTACACACACTGGCTGAGGTGTGATTTAACTGACAGTTGAATGATTTTTACTAGGCAGATCAATTAACGTGACAGCGGATCCAGAACCAGGAACATGCAGATATATTGAAATCCTAACCTCAAGGACCCAACAGTGGCAGCGATGGGGCTTGAACCCCTAACCTTCAGATCAGTAGCCCAGAGCCTTAACCACTGAGCCACCACTGCCCTGTTAAACTCACCTGTTAGTTCACTGCCCTGCTATCTCATGTCATATATTTAAGTAAACTGTGCTGTAAATACAGCTGGCCCGACTTTGGCCCAACACGTGTCACTGACGTCTCGTGCCTGGTGTGAATTCTAAGTAAAAGACGTAGACTTAGAGCTGAACATAGATGAAAGACATGAAACCATCTCATAAGTAAATTTAGAAAATCAATATAAATGATATACCTGGTGATTTAGGCTTGCCTTCTGTTGGACTCTCGGCCTCTCTGTGGACAAAACAGGGGACAAAAGAGGAAGTCTGAAAGAGACCAGACCTATAGTATTTGTACGTGAACCAGGGTCCATTAGTCATGACCCATTTAAGTGATAGATAGTGATTTGAATATGCAGCCATTTTCATAGGCCTTAGTAAATGAAGGTAATGATTGAGCAAGACTGCAGCTCCTCACTCATTCTTTCGGGCAGCCGGGCCTCTGAGCTTGCTCTCCAGGCCTCCGAAGAAACTCTTCACATCTGTCTTAGCCGTCGTATTTTTCAACAATCTCTCAGCAATGTCTTTCTTGCCTGAGAGCCAGACCTTGCTGCTGCGCAGGTATGAGTCAAAACCTGCACTCGGCTTCTCCAAGAGCTCTGTAGGTGACAGCTGTATCTTCCCTGGAGGATTAACATACCATATGTGACCATATGTGTACACACAAGTAATCACAAAACAAAATTTTGATATGCCAGAACAACTCATTTCCTTTGTGTGGCATTTGAAAAAATAATGGTCATATCATGCCATTGTTATTTAAAGCAATGAGAGGACCTTAAGCCCTTAAATAAAGTGACTGAAAAGGGGCTATTAGATGTCTTAACATAGCATTTAAAAAAGCAATAAGCCCACAAATTTTGTTTAATAGGGTGAGTCAACAGAAAACGTTTTTTTTTTTTTGCACTGTTTATTGCAAATACTAGGTGCATAATATTCCTACATAATCTCCATTTTCTTCACTGCAAGTGTTCCAGGAATTAACGAGTACCTGGTCTTCTCTAGAAAAAAATTGATTCAGTTCTAATTTGTGTCGCACTTTAGAAGTTTTCAATTGATTCACCCTCATATTAAATTAAAATAACATACATGCCCATTCAAGAACACTTGCTTTCTTCCGTGTCTTACCGATATAATAGTACGTGAAGCACATGGTCATTAAGTGCTTGGCAGGGCTGTAATCATCCATCTGGTAGCATCTGACAGTCAGTCAAAACAGAGGTCAGTTGAAGGTCATGTAGTAATGCAAAATCAAATTCAACCCACGCACATACTGTACGTATGCAAATATTGACTCTGGGGGAAAGCTTCAGGAAATGAACTAGTGGAATGAGTGCCAAAAAAGCTGCATGACTGTTTGTCCAAATGAAACACAAATAAACCCACCAACCACTCAGTTTGATCACCAGACTCCAATTTAGGACAAACTAACCAAGAGCTAACAGTAATATCATTCATTCTCAAGTCAGTATCAAACTACAGAAAGATACATACAGAGTCTGCTAGCATTGTTAGAGAAGCCTGGGCCAGAGCACTGATTATTGTCCCTGGCATTTCAAAATAATTACATGGTTCACTTCCATAAGTAATGCTTGTCAAGGGTTAAAACAGAGGGATTTTGGTAATAAGGAAGAGAATACAAAAGACTGACTTGGGAAATTATATGCTCTTGCAATCTCTATGCAATATTGGCTCTTACAATGTGGTTCATATACTCAGTTTGAGAGGAGAGAATGTGGTGTTACCAAATGTTTATTGAGCCACACAACCAGCAGCTTGTCCCCGGAATCTCAGCCAAGTTGCACAGATTTACTGAGATTTACTGGATTTTTTGCACACTTACTCAAACAGGACAACCGCAAAAGACTGCACCAGTCGGTAGAAGGTCTGCTCACTCACACACTTCGAGTTGCAGCGCTGCAAGAAACCAAATAACTTCACTATACTCATAGATCCCATATATTAGTAGGTCATATCATATATCATTCAGCTGCACTGAGGCCAACAACTTGCCTTTAACTGGGACGTGCATGGCAAGCTTTGAAGTAACTAACATTGTATGTTTGTGTGGACTCTGTTGGACCTAGTTTACTTGTTAAGGGCTACACAAGTGCTCTAATGTACTGTGTGTATATACTAAGCATAAACTTTTAGACCCGGATTGAAGAGCTTTGCTCCCTCTCACACCTGCACACTGACGTATTTTGCAAACCACTCCCTGGCCTTGCCGTTTTCTCCACTACACAACTCGCCGAAGCGTGCTTTCTCCTCCTGGTCAAAGTCCTCCCTGAGTCAGAGACAGAGAGAGAGAGAGAGAGAAAACAGAGAGACGAATCAACCAGTCTGTTACTTAACAAAAAAAATGTTTATATATATATATATATATATATATATATATATATATATATATATATATATATATAAGCAGAAAAAACTTTATATATTGCTAACGAAGGCCTTATTGTTTACCAAAGAGGATGGGTGATGGCAGGTTCATTAAAAAAAGATGCAAATCAATATCTTTCATTGTTTGGTCCATTTTTTTTGACCAGATTTAATTATACAAGCCATTCATGCTGAAATCCATCTTATTCTTTAAACTGTTTCTCACAATCAGTGGCTGACAATCACATGACCACAATTTTATACTGTACACCGTAGCTGCACACTTTATTCCTCCAGGCTCTGAGTGCACAGTTCTGATCTAGAAACCATTTCATCAAATTATTCCCACCCAGCTTTCAAATGCAAACAGACTCAAGATAAGACCTCACATTTTTTATTTGGGATAAATATATGCAGTCTACAAAATCAGGCCATCAACATCACCGCCTCACCTTCCACAAAACAACTTCTCCACATAGGCTTTCATGAATTCCCTCCGTTCCGCTACGTCGGCATCCTCAGCACTGTGATTGGATGATGAAGATGAGCGGCGGGAGTTGGAAGTGTGGGAAGGTGAATCAGTGGCCTCGTTCTCACTGTCTGCAGACTCTGTGGCTTCGCTGTCTTCAGCGCCTTCCTCTCTTCCATATGCAGCTGGTCTTGGGGCCATGGGCTTTGGGAGCTCACACACAGACTCTGGGATGAGAGGCTCGGCTGATAACAAGTCAGGAGGAACAATGGCAGAGGGTGCTGTCACTTCTGTGCTAGAAGGTATGTCAAAATCGATGAGGTTTTCCACTGCAGGCCCCTCCATAGTGATACAAGAGGGCAGTACAGTCTGAATTGGCTGCTTTGGTGACTCAAACACACCTCTTCTTCCTGGTTCCCCACCCAGCAGCAGAACCTGAGAAAGCAAGAGTGGCAAGCTCATTATATAATCATGTAGAGGGCTAGATTTAAAATAATACATTAATACTTGTTTTCCTTTTTTCCCACAAACTGGGTGGCTAATACATTACACAATGCTGAGCATGTTTGCAAACTAAGCCTCTTAATAGGGTGTCTCAATATGAAATTTTGAAAGGCCATTGCAAAAGCCATGAGTTATTATGTCTGTGGTACATAAAACCAGACAGTAGGGTTTCTACCACTGTGTTAGTTATGTTGACCAAACCCATTTTCCAGATTAAATGATGCTTTCAATCTCTCTTTAAGTGCACTAGTGCTGTTCCACAGCCACAACACGATGTCTAAGAGGATATGAATAGCATAGACAGTTTCTTCATTTTGCCCAGGCGATATATCTATTTCCTGTAGAACTGCTGTGAACACCTAATCTGAAACATAAGCGTGGCAACCTGGGAAATCCCTTCACAGACAGTGAAATTTTGACATTTCATTTTCTACTATATATATACTGTATATATAGTCTTATATAAGTCTTATATAAGGCACATGCAGATAATGCTGTAAAGCAAAAACACCTTCAAAAATGATGAAAATTTGTTGTTTCTACATAAATAATATACTATAAAGAGCAATAAACAGTAATAAACTGAAAAAATTCAATATTTGGTGTGACAACCCTTTGCTTTTTAAAAATGCCTCAGTAGCCTTAGGTACACTTTGTGCAGTTTTATAAGGAAATTGGATGCTAGGTTTCAATAAGCACCTTGGAGAATCTGCCACAGTTCTTCCGGAGACTTTGGCTGTCGCACTCGCTCTTTTCCTGACAGATTTCATTAAGCTTTTGTCTGAAAAGTGGTGAATGTAATATTTTACTTTCTTACTGACATACAAACATTTTTCTGTAACATATAATGTTTGGAAATCTTAAATACTTTTGTATTGATTCAGTAATGCAGAAGTCATAAAATAAGCATCTGAAATGATCAGAATCATATCCATTTCGTCCCATTTCATCACATTCATATCCATATCCATATTTTTCCCCATTTTGGTCAGCTGGCAATTCCCACCCAATAACTCTCCCCTATCATACCACATATTGGAGTGCTACACAGGGCAGCATAACACACCAGGAGGTAAGTGCTATCTACCCTCTTCCACACACCTGAGCTCACAGAGGCTCATGATTGGCTAGTGTCACTGTGATTAACATGGGAGAGAGAGTATGCCATCCCTTCCACACTGAGAGCACGGCAAGATTAAATGGTAATGAATATTTCACCATTTTGGTGAAATATATTTATGGTTTCTTAAAAACCATAAATAAAAAAAACAACTTTGGCCAATTGTTTGTGCTTTTTGGCTGTTTGCCAGAATTCAGGCAGAGTGACATCTGGGCTTTTCCAGACTGTCTCACTTATGATTACAGCATCTTGTTCAGCGTCATACAATGTTGATCATATGTTGATCAAAATGTTGTGCATTTAATCATTCTAATCCAAAGGAATTTGCTAACTATACATAAAAAACAATCCTAAGACCTGCTAAACAATAATCATCTCTCTAAGCTTCAGAGCGGAGTCATGAATAGCACGCCCCTTAGACTGTCTAGGCAACCGAGGATGGCACTGGGACTGTACGGTTATGTAATGCAGCACTGCAGAAGCGTGACTTGG